TCCCCCTCCCTGGGACCCCTTAAAAGTTTAATTAAAAAATTTGATAAAAAACCCCTCAACCCCCTGGTTTTCACATGCCACCTCTCTGGGTCCCAAAACCCATCCTTGAGGTAGGCCCTCGATAATGTGGAGGGCCAGATCTGCGAGAGGGGGGAATCTCGCAGCGCAAGAAGTTCATAGGTAGTATACATCTTAGGTTACAGCGAGGGAGGCGGAGATCATAATCAGGGGTCCATTTGGTAATCCCAAAATCAGATGTAACACACAGCCATGCGGCTCCACCGGTAAATACACTGTCCTCTCACGACAGTTTGAGGGGTCTTTCACAGTTTCAGCCAACGGAGAATGACATCCAGCCCACCCTCTCACGGCGGGAGGCCCTTAAATAGCCCTAGAGATAGAAATGTTCCATCCTTCCGGTGGTGAATTCATGATGTAAAAGAGACGACCCCCTCAGTGGTTGCCACATGGTTGTCCCAAGGTTGGAGAGAATGATTTATAGTTCAGTCAGTCAGTTCATCCGGGGGTTAAAGATGACAGTCCCTGCTCTTTATAGTCGCACCAATATGAAAGTTCCAGTAAGAGACACAAAACATACGAGGGAAGGGGAGGGGGGGAGAAACCCCTTTACCTGGGGCCAGATGGTAGCCCATTTCACGGCCTAGACAAGGTCCGGGAGGGAGGGGGGGCGGGGGAGAGAGAAGGGCTGGCATCAATGCAACAGGAAGAGAAACCCCTCCGCTGGCCACCAGCCCTATCTCCCCCAGTTCTTCCAAGTAAAAAACCCCCAGTTCTTCCTGGTAACATAACCCAATGCCATGTCCCAGCCTCCAGTACGTTTCTCGGAGGCCTCCAGGTCCTCTGCAGCCGCCAGGATCTTCCTGAAGGGGTCTCTCACTCATTACCCGAAGCCAGAAACCGGCTACTGGAATCCCCTCCGTCACTAGCCCCGCCGTCAAGGCCACCATTGCCTTCGTCTCTCACAATGCCTCTAGCAACGCTGCTAGCAACGCCGCCGCTGCTGCTGCCGTCGTTCTCTCACAGCCGGTAAGCCACCTTTCTCCCTTCTCAGCTGGGACGCGGCAGCAGCGTGGTAGCAGCAGGGCTGCAATTCTCCATTCGGTCGACTCCGGGTGAACCCTGAGGGGCGAGAAAGGTCTCAAAACGCTCACCCCAGTCTCATCCAGCCAAACGGGGGGTCGTTGATGGTCAGGACCCCCCTCGACACCCCAAAACATCCAAAAACGCCCCCATCTGACCGCAGCACTCAGGGAGCGACCACCATCTTGCGCATGCTCAGAAGCATTTGGTTATTCTCATGATTAATACATAGGAACCTAATTTGGACTCTTCTAGTATACTGCATAAGTACTTTCACTATTTAGCAGAGTTATCATATCCTACATTATTATGGAAGTGAGCCTTCATGATATTTCTGTCTTTAAACTAGACAGAAGTTACCTAATAATAATTAGCAGAAAGCTACAATTCAAAGATTGATGGTAGGGTTAAATTTGAATTGAATTTGAATTGAATTGAATGTATTAAATTTTTATACCGCCCTTCTCCCAGAGGGACTCAGGGCAGTGAACAGCCAGGATTAAAATACATACAATATGAAAATTAAAATAATTTAAAACATAATTAAATCCATTTGGCTTCCCCAATTTAAAACCCCTTTCCCATAAAACAACTAAAAATTTTAAGCCAGCCCGGCTTGCTGAAAGAAGAAGGTTTTCAGAGCCCAGTGGAAAGTACGGAGGTCCGGGATCAATCATATCCCTGGGGTTATCTCGTTCCAGAGGGCGGGTGCCCCCACAGAGAAGGCTCTCCCCTGGGGGTTGCCAGTCAACATTGCTTGACCAACGGCACCCTGAGGAGACCCTCTCTGTGGGAGCGTATTGGTCGGTGGAAGGTTGTTGGTGGCAGAAGGTGGTCTCGTAGGTACCCAGGCCCTAAGCCATGGAGTGCTTTAAAGATGGTAACCAACACCTTGAAGCGCACCCGGAAGACCACCGGAAGCCAGTGCAGCTCGCGCAGAAGAGGTGTTACATGGGAGTGCCATGTTGCCCCCATAATCACCCGCGCAGCTGCATACTGGACCAGTTGGAGCCTCCGGGTGCTCCTCAAGGGGAGCCCCATGTAGAGAGCATTACAGTAGTCCAGGCAGGAAGTAACGAGGGCGTGAGTGACCGTGCATAAGGAGTCCCGATCCAGAAAGGGGCACAACTGGCGTATCAGGCGAACCTGATAAAAAGCCCCCATGGCCACGGCCATCATGTGCTCTTCTAAAGACAGCCATGCATCCAGGAGGATGCCCAAGTTACGAGCCCTCTCCGTGGGGGCCAATGACTCTCCCCCGATAGCCAGCGATGGCACCAGCTGGCTATATCGGGATGCCGGCAACCACAGCCACTCAGTCTTGGAGGGGTTGAGTCGGAGCCTGTTCCTCCCCATCCAGACCCGCACGGCCTCCAGGCACCGGGACATCACTTCAAGGGCATCATTGGGGTGGTCTGGGGTGGAGATGTACAGCTGAGTATCATCAGCATACAGATGGCACTGCACCCCAAATCCACGGATGATCTCACCCAGTGGTTTCACATAAATGTTGAACAGGAGAGGTGAGAGGACCGACCCTTGCAGCATCCCACAAACAAGGTGCCTTGAGGTCGACCTCTGCCCCCCAGCCAACACGGACTGTGACTGGTCAGAGAGATAGAAGGAGAACCACCATAACACGGTGCCTCCCACTCCCAACCCTTCCAGCCGACGCAGCATGATACCATGGTCGATGGTATCAAAAGCCGCTGAGAGACAGAGGAACAACCCTTCCCGAGCCCTCCAGAGATCATCAACCAATGCGACCAATGCCATTTCCGTGCTGTACCCGGGCCTAAGCCGGACTGGAGCAGATCTAGATAGACAGTTTCATCCAGGTACTGTGGGAGCTGTCGCGCAACCACACTCTCCACAACCTTCGCCACAAAGCGAAGGATGGAGACTAGGCGGTAGTTTGCCAAAACAGCCGGGTCCAGAGAGGGCTTCTTGAGGAGCGGCCTCACCACCGCCTCTTTCAAGGTGGGAGGCAAGAAACCCTCACTCAAAGAAGCGTTTATAATCCTCTGGAGCCAGCCTAGTGTAACCTCCCGGGTAGCCAGCACCAGCCAGGAGGGGCACGGGTCCAATAAACATGTGGTTGCATTCAACCTCCCCAGCATCATGTCCACGTCCTCGGGAGTCACAGGGTCAAACTCATCCCAAATAACATTCTCAAGACCCGCCTCGGACATCCCGCCTGAACCCACCCAGTCAGAGTCCAAGACTTCCCGGATTCAAGCAATTTTATCGTGCAGATAATGTGCGAAATCCTCAGCTCGCCCTTGCTCGCCCAATAAATTTGATTTACCATTGGTGATTCCCAAATCTTAAACAATGGGGATACAGGTTTTATTCAACACTTCACCGAAACCTTTTTCAATTATAATTTTTTATCTCTTCCCCTTTTAATATTGATACTATATGCATATAGGATCATAGTTCAACTATATAAAAATACATTTTCAACAATATTCTTAACTGCTTGCCATTATTATTTCATTATAGATTTGTTGAATAATGTCAATTTTGATTGATTCAGAAACATTTCAAGATTTTGAATTAAATGCATGCCCAGCTAGTTCAATTTTATGCTATGCATATGCATTTAAAAGAACACCCCCCCAAAAAAAATTCCATGAGACCAATCTAAAAAAATAAACTGAAAACATTTTGTGTATAAATAGCTAGAGATCCCACAGACACTTTATACAGAGATACACAGTAAACTAAATTTAAGTTAAATCGTATCTTCTAAAGATAGGACTTTGCTTTAATATGTTGCTGCCAAATCAATTCCCAGCAAAGATTTTTATAAGAAGAGTTAGTAGATCCATTTACTATTTATGAAATAAAAATTGTGATACTTTCTTTGAATGGTAAAGCACCAAGATCAATTTTATGTGGAATGGTAGATGTTTTCTGATACATTTTTCTTCAGTGTTATGGCTTATAAAATGTTTGGAAGAACGTATTTTATTATTGGCGTTCAGTAAAGCTATGTTTTGTACCAAAACTAGGTAAAGTTCATAGTTTGTGTTTCAATTATTATCCTATCACTTTTTTAAAAAATGGACAACTCTTTTAGTGAACAAATTAACAATTCTTTTAGCTGACAACAATTGCAAAAAGTAACACCAAAAGACATGGTTTTTGGTGGCTACGTGGGCAGGTCTATACACTTTTCTTGACAATATGTTTTAGAGATGGCTTGCCTTCTTCCTTCGACTGAGAGAGTTTCTCTGGCCCAAAATTGCCCGACTGCCTTCTTGCTTAATTGGAGACTAAAAAGTCATGTTTCCCTATTCTTAGCCCAGTATCTTAAATGTTTAATGCTTCTAAAAACTGACATGGATGATTGATTTAAATAAGGATAGAGAGAGGCAAACATGCACTTATACCACTGGATGCTGCAAAAGTCTTTGGAATAGCATTAGTTGTTAATAAATGTAACACCTGGAGGAAATATAATTCTACATTAAATTGCAGGCAGCAGTTACATAAATATATAAACTGATTTTTTTTTTCCTGGTAAACAATATTTTTTTAGAACCTCTTATTAAATATTGGTATTCAAAAAGACTTTCTTCTAACATCTTAAGGCTTGATTGCTTATTTATCTATTACATTAATATAACTACCCATCTCATCATAGCAACTCTGGATGCTATGGTTACCAACAACTAACATTTATCCATGAGTGAATTATAATATCCTCAATTTATTACCTGGTCAGCAATGATTTTTTTTCCCAAACAGTGGTTGCCAAAATTGTTATTTTGGCAAACAATGGCTTGTTGACCATAAAAGAAAAGAAAAGAAAAGCACAGCAGTCCACTATTTCCTGAGTCAACATAAAGATACCTTGATGTTCCAGCAGAGACCTCTTTCTCTCATCTTACCTCTTTACTGTGTTCAATCTTGATGCCAAAGCAAAGGTAGCCCAAAGCTTCCTCACTTCTGATGTGATACCGCAATCTGAGGCTGCCAGTGAGTGAGATGCCGTCAACAGTGAAGTGCAGATATTTATAATGTACCACTTCAAGACCCATGTCCATTTACACAATGATTGCATTTATAAATCTGCAACAATTTGACTAAATCAAAATGCAGTATGAAAACAGCATGCTGTGCAAACTATAATAAACTAAAATTAATTATTAAAAATTCTGATATTATGAAATTTACTACATATTCAGTAGACAGTTTAGAGAAAAGAACATTCCCCCATTAAAAATACTTGATGTACTGCTAGGACATCCAGAAATTGTAATCATCTAGGTTGTTTATTTGTTTGTTATTCAATTTTTATGGCCTCCCATCTCAAGCAATGACTCAGGGTGGCTTACAATTCAGAAAATATGTTACAATTACATTTTTTACAAAATTAAAACAATAAGAATGATAAAAACAGCTAAAAGATGAAAAATCCAAATTCAACATATACAAGAGCAAAATATTTGGCCAGCTATTAATATATCCAGGAAACATGGCCCTTAACACATTCAGTGCCCCAGGCTCAGAAACATAGCCAAAAATAATTGTTGATTTCTTGTCTTTGTTATAACTATGTTGGGTTTTATATTTGCTGTTTCCATTTATTAGAAAATGTGTTTTTGATGTTATTTTGTGATTTGTACTGGGTTTTTTATGATTGATTCTGTGGCTAATGGAAAAGTTTGATCACAAATTATTAACTCTACTCCCAGAATATATTGTGATGTGTTAAAATTAAACAAAAAGGATTTACTAGAAATAGACATTCATTATTAACATTCCCCAGGGTTTAGTATGATGCAGAGGGTGCAATTTTAAAAAATGGGGAAACCCAAAGTCACAGGAAGATTGGAACTAGATAAACTCAATAATAGAGGAGATAAATTAATAAAATGTTACATGGAGAATTATTTGTTTATTAGCAATAACTTCATAGAGTGTGTGTGTGTGTGTGTGTGTGTGTGTGTGTGTGTATGTGTGTGTGTAAAGTGAGTTAGGCGGTTCCTTTCCAGGTTGAGACTGAAAAACAATAAATTAATTATTAGTGTCCATTATATACATTAAATATAGAAAATTAAAGAGAGCAGCTATGGCAGCAAAGATTTCACCTGGAAAACATACAATTAAAATATAAAATCATTGTGAAGAATAAATTTAATATGTTTAACAAACATATTCAATTGTGAATCTGAAAATTATTAATGATGATTACAAAACCTGAGTCATTAAATCCTTTGTTTATTGAAATGTGTTCCGGTTAGCAGGAACAAACAAAGAGGCAGTAGACTTTCATACATTCCATGAAAAGCAAGCATCTCAGAAGCTTCAGAGAAACATTTTTGATGGTTAAAATCCACTCTTTGAAAAATCGAAATTGTATTAGTTTCAACACAACTCTGCTCCAAAGTGTATCCCATTCAGTTCAATTGGGCATACTCCCATGTAAAAAAATACAGGACCAATATTGACTTTAGCTAAAGTAAGAGAGCAGAATCTTACCTAGCAGCTGTATTCCAAAGCAACATGTTAATGTGTATCCAAAACAATTTCTATTCATTTCCTGTTCTTGGCTTCATCTAGATTTGTCATCTATGATGAAGAATCTGGAGTCTTTCAAACAGAGGCTTAAATACCAGTTGTTGAGAATGCTTTAGCATGGGGGGGGTCAAACTCAAGGCCCTGGGGTGCTTAGATCCGGCCTGTGGGGCCACCCTGGAAATAGCAAAGGACCAGTCCGCAGTGCCTCTGCCAGTGAAAATGGAGTTTGTGAGGGCTGCGTGTGGTTAGAAGGTTGCAGGAGGCTGTTGCAGCCGAAAACGCAGCTCAGGAGCTCGTTTTCGCTGGCAGAGTGTTCAGCCACTACAGGTGCCCCCACAAGTGATGTCATGCTCACCACGATCCCCCCCCAGCCATGCCCACCTCACCCCCCCAAGATCAAACACAACCCTGATGCAGCCCTCAATGAAATTGAGTTTGACACCCCTGCTTTAGTAGGTCTTTCTTTCAACAAAGGTTGGACTAAATACAGCTGAAATTCTTCCTAACTTTATGGTTCTCTAATTATAATTCTTAATAGCAGTGGGCATCCTTTGGCTCTTATGTATCAGATATATAAAATATCTACAGCTAGCACTGTAAGTAATAAACAGGTATCAAATACATTGCACTTAATTTGAAGCACCTTCTCTGATAAATGGCCATCACTGAGAATTTTGGGAGTTGAAGTCTATATAGTTAGAGGATACCAAGCGGGTTGGGGAAAGACTGAATTGAGTCAGTTTATCTCAAAGAAACAGGCCTATTTAAGAATCCCACAAAGGATTCAACCGGAAGCGTCACGGCGAGACAGTCGGGGAATTAACAGGCTCTGATGAGCTCCGCAAAAACCCAGACTGACGAACCTCTGCCGAGGGGTGTTCGGACTGGAACTGTCCTGTAGAGACAGGGAAGAAGGAGAGGCACCTTGGAAGACCAAGAAGACCAAGAGGAACAGGCAAGTTCCTTGAAGGTCAGAGGAATCTCTCTCCAATTCGGTGGCGGGGGCGGCAGCCATTGCAGCTGTCAAGAAGCTCGGACAACCGGACTAAGTATTGAGCAGGAGTGGTGATTGCAACAGAGTTTTTGAAGCCAGGTGAGTGACAGCCAACTCACAGGCGAAATAAAAAAATCTCAACAAAAGTACCATGGTGGAACTGCTTCAAAGTCACACCTTCTTTTGTTGCCAGAGAAATCTGTTCTTTCAGGATCTGACAGATTTTGAAGATCCAAGAATTCATCAAGATAGTGGCTCGCCTCCAAAATGAACACTGGAATGGATACCAACATTTTTTCATTCTTTAGAATCCAGGACCATTCATGCAGGTTCTTGTAGCAAAGTCCATCTTCTAGCTAGAGGAACAAACAGATTGAATAGCAAGAGGCAAAAACCAGGAGGACTGCAAAACCAAGGTGATACCAGATGATTTCTGCACCAAAGTTAGGTTATGGGGTGCCAGGAGTGATTACATTGAATAATTACACAGAGTCAATATTCTCTTAGAAAGTACATTTTATATTACCTGTTGAAGAACCTCAGCACTGGAATCTGTTGGTAGCAGGATAGAAAAGCTCAGCTCATTGTTTTTGTAGAGAATCTCCAACACCATGGCCAACTCACCCTGGCTGACTCACCTTGGCCAACTTGTCGTGGGACAACTTGCCATGGCCAACTTGCTGTAGGACAATTGGTTGTGGGACAATTCAACATGGGATAACACAAAAGAAGGAAAAGTGAATTGCAGTGGACCTTCTCTTGCTTTTAATTTGAACCTTCTCAAATTAGAATCCTCGAGACTGGGATGAGCTGCAATTTTACTTGTCTCTCTCTTGAGTTGTCCTACATTGAATTGTCCCACAGCAAGTTGTCCTGTGGCAAGTTGGCCACAAGTTGTTATGTGATGAGTTGGCCACAGTGAGTAAGTCGGGGCAAGGTAGCTGCAGTGAGATGAGTGGGGCGAGTTGTCCCATTCCCTCTCCAACACCTGTACTTGCATATTGGCTATACCAGCAGTGGCTGTGTTGTAAATGCCCATCCTTTGCATATATTATACAGTGTACTGCTTATTCTGCAAAAAGGAAAAAAAATGGAGTGAAAAAACAATATTTAGAAGGAGAAATCAATTTCCTTTCCTGTTTTTCAAAATTGTTGTCTTGCTTCCTCTGTGTGGATGCACGGCAGTGGTGGGTTTCAACCGGTGTTATCACCAGTTCACTTCGTGCAAGCGCATTGAATTTCACAACAGCTGAGGCACAGCAATCTGCTCTGCCACGCCTATCAGCTGGTCTAAAAATGAACGAATATAGGTAGGCATAGCGCAGGGGTGGGCGGGAGGGCCCAGCTGACGGTCGGAGCAAACCGTTCTGCTCTCATCTCACCATCTCCACCACCAGCTTTCCCGAACCGGGGAGGACCGGTAGCAACCCACCAATGATGCACGGCCAGTGAACCAGTAGCAAACCGGTTCAGATTTCACCACTGGTTTATAAGGATGATATTCAAAAGCAAGCAATCCTTTCTGGATATTAGAAACTCATGGCCACTTTTTATCAAGCACATTAGTTTAGTAGGTGGAAAAGAAAAAGTGAAAAAGAGACAAGCAATATGCTAAGAAAAGATATGGTAATGGAAGTCTCATAATGGAATCATTATTGCTAATTATCTATTAGGTAACAATAGTTTAAAACTTTTGAAATGTATCAAAAGAAAAGCCATTTATTGGAACATCTGAATGGAAATACATACAATTAAAACATTTGTTAGCCCTGCCATTTAGTCACCAATGTCTGTAGAGGGACTGGATGAGTTTAGTAGAAGGCCTTTCTTGAAACTGAACAGACAATTTATTATTAAAGTAAAGTAGCAGACTTTCTCATCTCAGGAAAAACAAGTAGCCAAAAGAAATATGATTAGTTTATATTACTCACCCCATCATGTCCATAAAATGGTCCTCCTGTTGTAGCTTCTTTGTTAAATGTAATGTCCCATTGTCCCTTGAAATAGAGTGCATTAACCAATAGTAACTGAGCATGGTAATCAAAGCTCTCCTTGGGGAAAAGTTCTTTGCTTTTGCCTGAGAAAGAAATGGGCACAACCTTCACAATTAGAATCTAAATTTCTGTTCTGACCCAGCCTTTGCAAGTAATGATAAGCCGCTTACTTGCAAATAAAACAAAGCCCTTTTTAAAACAGGGCAGCAATAGTCTTTTATTCACATGGATAACCAAAAACCAAATGTAAGTAGTCCCAAGAAACCTGGTTCTGGCCAAGGAATCCGGATTGCTTGCTATATACTAGAAAACGAACAGATGTCTGCAACAACAGCCACTCCCAAACTCCTATTATTTATTTCCAAGACAGGAAGGGGCTGGCTAGCATCTACTTCTGCCTTTCCCTGCGTGCTGGTTTATTGTTTTC